GGTGAATAATCCTCTGTGGCTGTTTCTGGGACAAAGACAACTTCCTGGGGGAGTGGCAGGAGAGGCTGGAAAAGTGGCCAGGCGATGAAAGACCCCTTAAAAGGGCTGTGTTGGCCCAACCGGTGTGGCTCAGTGGTTGAGCATTGACCTATGAACCAGGAGGTCACGGTTCTATTCCTGGTCAGGGAACATGGCTGGGTTATGGGCTCGATCCCCAGTGCGGGGCATGCAGGAGGCAGCCTACCAGTGATTCTCTCTCCCTGTCCATTCCTTTCTGAAATCAATAAAACTATTTTTTTTAAAAGCATTGTGTTGGGGGGTAGGGCTGGTCCCTCAGGTCAGCGGCTTCACGCCTTAGAGGAGTGGCTGACCCCCACATGTGCCTGTGTGTACAATGTCAGGCAGCAGAGCATTCTGTGTGCCCACAGGTGCCAAGGTGATTACTGGTTCTTGGCAAAGCTTCCAAGGGGTCAGGTTGTGTTGGCTCCATCCCTGGCCTTAGGGCACCCACAGTTCTACTGGGGAGACAGGAAGAACACACATATAATCAACAAGAACACGTACAAAATTACACCAGGCTTTAGGAGGAAGCGGTAGATCAGAGATCCTGCTGGATTGGAGAAGGGGCTGGTGAGTCAGGGTTTCCCAGACAAGGTAAGCCAGAGGCCTCGGGACAGAAAGATGGCCCAAGGGAAGAGGGACTAGGCACAGCCGGCAGCTGAGAGGAACTTTTGGATGATTCTGGTGAGTCAGCAATTTGGAATTGAGGCAGGATGGATGCTGAGTTTCAGCAAAGAGCTCAGAGTGTGACAGTGGTGCTAATGGGGTTCTTTTTTTTTTTTTAAATATATTTTATTGATTTTTTTACAGAGAAGGAGAGGGATAGAGAGAAACATCGATGAGAGAGAAACATCGATCAGCTGCCTCCTGCACACCCCCTTCTGGGGATGTGCCGGCAACCAAGGTACATGCCCTTGACCAGAATCGAACCTGGGACCCTTCAGTCCGCAGGCTGATGCTCTATCCACTGAGCCAAACCGGTTAGGGCGCTAATGGGGTTCTTGTTGCTTCTTTTAACAAATACATATCGAGCACCTACCAGGCATCAAGCAGTGTTCTAGTGACCAAAGCAGACAGATTCCCTGCCTTCCATGAAGCGGTGGGAGACAGGCAAGAAACAATCAAACAGCCCGGCCCGCAGGCCAGCGTGACTCAGTTGTTGAGCTTGGACCTATGAACCAGAAGGTCATGGTTTGATTTCCGGTCAGGGCACAGGCCTGGATTGCGTGCTTGATCCCCAGGAGGCAGCCGATCCATGAGTCTCTCTCATCATTGATGTTTCTGTCTCTCGCTCCCTCTCTCTTCCTCTCTGAAATCAATAAAATATATTTTTAAAAAGAAACAATCAAATACATAGTTAATATAAAAAGAAACGAGAAGTATTATGAAGAAAAATATAGCCAGTTTAAGGATTTAATAGGGTGACAGAGTGTGCGATGTTACATAGCACAGTCCAAAGGCCCGACTAAGAAGGAGACATTTGCAAGAAAATCTGAATGAAGTGAAGGAGGGAGAAGTGTTGGGGTTCAAGTCCAAAGGCTTCTGCTGCTCTGGGGAGGTCAGGCTTTTGTTCAATGTAGGCCTTCAATGGACTCCGTAAGGCCCAGTCGCATGGTGCAGGGCCATTGGTTCTGCTCACTAAAGAACATCCTCACAGAAACATCCAGAATAATATTTGACCAAATATCTGGGCACCATGGCCCAGCCAAGTTGAGACATAAAATTAACCATCACATGGAATATGAAGAGCAGTAAGATTGATGTGAGCATTGAAATTGAGAATATCTGTAAAGCACCAAGTACATTGACTGACAAGTGGTAAATGTTCAATTAAAGGTGTCATTGTTGTCATCACACAGGGAAAAATAACATTTGTCGCCTGGCTGGTGTGGCTCAGCTGGTTGAGCTCTGTCCCCCGCACCAAGAGGCTGCAGGTTCAATGCCCGGTCAGGTCACATACAAGAAACAATCAATGAATGCACGAATAAGTGGAACAATAAATTGATGTCTCTGTCTCTCTCTCTAAAAGTCAATCAATAAAAATTTTAAAAATAAAATGAAGTGTATCTGGAGCCTCAGTAGTTGAAGGGAGCTGGACCTCTCTTCTTTGGGGGCCTGTATCCAGGGAGCAGCTGCTGAGAACTGGGGGCCCAGGTAGGAGAGTTGGAAGGAAGGTGACAGCCTCCCCGTCGCCCACATCCCAGGCGGGACAGGGAAAGCTCTCCATACGCCACAGGGCAGCCTGCAGCAGGTGATGGGGAGCCTAATTCCAGGGCCAACGAGGGGCTCTCTCCCTGCCTCTACGGGAACTCAGCCGAACAGCATTACAGAGCAGCCTCTGTTTGGCGTCTTGCTGTCTGCTGTCTGCTGTCCGGTGGTATTTGGGGCCTTGGCCCTGCCCCCTGAGGAACTTCTAGTCTGCTGGGAAGGAGGCAATGAAAGTGCCACCAACCTCCTGCACAGGCGAGCCTGGAGTTCCCCGGGGGCAGGGCCTCCAGCTTCCCACAGTGCCCAGGCCTGCTGGGCTCTCAGTGAACGTCAATGCTCGCGTTTGACGGAGCCTTTCCCCTTTGTGTCTGTCTCTGTGTCTCTCAGCATCTCTGTCTCTAACAGTCTCCGGCTCACTTGTTTCCCAACATCCTTCCCAATCTCCCGGGAGCGGAGCCGGGGGGACGGGAGGAGGGCAGTGGGAACGAGACCGCGTCCTGTTCTCACCACGGACAATAAGGGCCGGAAAGGGCCGGCCTGAGTCTTAGCGCCACTACCCGGCCCTGACCCTCCAGCGTGCCCTGCATGCCAGGGGTGCCCTCATGCCAGTGCCAGGCCCAGGGGAGCCCAGCCTCTGTGGGGTTGGGAGCCTCCTTGCCCTGTCCCGCATTCACACTGCCTTCTTGGTGGTGGTATCCCTCCTGTGGCAAGGAGCCGCCCTATTGGGCCAGTCTCCCCATTCACCCCCCACACCCTGTATTATTTACTCCTGTTTCCGGGAGCAGGCACGGGTGTCGGGGCCACATGTGAGGGAGCAGGAGGCAGGAGGAAACATCTGGCTTCCCTCTGCCCTCCAGGGGCGGGACCACCGCCCCTCTCTCTCCCAGGCCTGCAGCCTCAGCGGGGAGCAGAGCCCCGGAGTCCAGGGCCAAGAGGTTAACACTTTGCCCTTCTCACCTGCCGGTCTCCAGAAGCCGGGAGGCCTCCCGCCCCCTTACTTAATGATGGAGATAGGTGGCTAGGATACCCTTGCCAGGGTTAATTGGTAGGTCAGGTACAGGCAGCCTGCAACTAGGACAGCAGAGACGGCTGGGTGGAGGGCTGCGGTTGGCGCCAACCTGCCTTGTAAATGCCTTCCCCGGGGAAGGGGTTATTATTTCTGGGCCACCTGCTGTCCCTGGTGCCTACGCAGCGGGTGCCCTGGCACCTGCTCTCCAGCCCCACCCACCTCCCCTGGCCTGGCCCCTCCCCAGCTCTCATCTTGGGAGGCAAGGTGCCCTCAGGCGGCCAGATACTCCGGCCGTGTCTATGCTCACCTGGCTGGCACCTGGCCCTCTGCCCACTGCTCCCACCCCAGGGCCGGACAAAATCAGTGTGTGACAGAGTGAGACCCAGACGCAGCCCAGCCACCTCCTAGGTGCAGGGCCCCTACTGCAACCCCCGACCATCAGCAGGTGAGCTGCAGCCTAGAGCCGCCATCCCCTCAGGGAGGCTCGCGTCTCCATTGAGCTCTGCCTTGGCTCCCAGCCTCGGGGAGCAAGGACTTGATCCCGGCTTCAGCCCTCCCGAGTGAGCTAGCCTTTGGGTCCTCCATGAAGGTTGGCTTCCACAGGAGGCCCAGCAGCAACCCTCCCCAGCCCTCCGGGTGGGCTCGCCACGGGGATTGTGGCTCGTCTCCTGGAGACGTGAGCTCACGGCGCCCTCTGCAGGCATTCTGGGTAAACTGCATAGCACTCCCTCAGCCCAGGGACTGGAGAAAGGGTCTGGGCCTCTAATTGGAGGAGGGAGGTTGGGGTGGGGGTGGCTCTAGTCCTTGACCAGTTCTCTGACTCACTTCTTCATCTTCACTGGGTCTTCCTCCCCATGCACATCCCATGCACAGGGTTTATGTCCTGGAAGGGCAGGTTCTTTCACCACCCCAACCAGGCACTGCAGAGAACACAGTACTGACCAGGGCACTGTGCACCCCTAGAGCCACTCCGCCCAGAGTGCGCCTCCTGCCCAAGGACAGGCTCTCTGGACACGGCGTTCTCGCGGCAGCGCAGACAGAGTGGAACCCAAGAAGCCCTCCTTTCATTTCTATGGTGGGGGGGGGGCGGTTTCCAAGGTGGACGGCCTTGTCCCTATTGTTTTACATACTCGGCTACAAATTAGGAAGTTCCTAATCCCTTGGCTACTAAACAGAGAAGAAAAACGAAGGCACCAGAACAAGGGTTTTTTGTTAATCCTCACCCGAGGATATTTTTCTGTTGATTTTTAGAGAGAGTGGAAGAGGGAGAGAAAGATCGATGCGAGAGAAACGCATCAATTGCACACACCCTCCTGCACACACCCCGCCCAAGGCCAGGGAACCTACAACCAAGGTACGTGCCCTTGACCAGAACTGAACCCAGGACCCTTCAGTCCGCGGGCCCATGCTCTATCCACTGAGCCACACCGGCCAGGGCTATTCCAGTTCTGACAGGCCTCCCTGCACTGCCGCCTTTACCCCTTTTCTCAGAGGTCCAGACTGCAGATTATTGGCGCACTTTTCCTCCACGATGAAACACAGCATATGCCACTCCAGTGCCTGGCAAAGCACCTGGCCACTGATGGCACTCTATAAAATTTGGTAAAAATGAGCCTTACCATCCTTAAGGTCTGAAACAGCAGGTACCCATGTGCCCTCACGTTCTGTACACTCAGGTAGGCATTGGCAAAAGAGGGCCGCAGCTTATCACGACTCACAGAGCTACAAACAATCAACTTTATTGGTGGTCAGGGTCAGTTTCTCTTTTTGCTCTTGCCAGTGACCTTGGCTGGTGTGAGGACTGGAGTGGTTGCCTGATACAGCGTGGAGGAGATCTTGTTGATGTAGTACAGACCAACCATGGAGAAGATGAAGCTACAGGGCAGAGACGAAAAGGTCCCAGCATCAACGGGCCTGCTGCCAGCCTGGTGCCTCCCAGGACAGACACCAGCATCAGAACAATCCGGGCTCAGGTTTAAGAAAATGGGGAGGGGGAGGGAAATATGGGGAAGGGAGGGGGAGGGAAATATGGGGAAGGGTGGAGCCATCAAAGGGCGGTCCAGGCCCGAGGGACAGGATACTGTTCCCCTTACCCAGCGGGCAGGCACTTACCAGGTGGTGACACAGACTCGATGGATGAGGCCAGATGCAAAAAGAGCCAACAGGAGGCAGAAGAGAACTGGGGAGGCAAGAGAGCACAAGGGGGTAGAGATCAGAATGGAAATGCCGGCATTCATATGTCTAGTATTCCGAATACTAGGTACACGCCAGGGTTAATTGGTAGTCAGGTACAGGCAGCCTGCAACTAGGACACGAGAAGATAGCTGGGTGGAGGGCTGAGGTTGGCGCCAACCTGCCCTGTAAATGCCTTCCCCGAAGGGCCTTCGAATCTTGGGGAACCTGCTTAGAGGGATGTGGCCTGACGACAGCGGAAAAATGCAGATGGCCCTGCTGATGCCCAGGCCATGGAGGCAGATGCATGCTCAGCACCTGCTCTGCCCCAGCTATCACCCAACGTCCCCATCCTGGCTTCCTTCCAGGGAAAAGCAACAGTGATAACAGAGTCTAAAGGGCACGCTCGCTCCCTCTCTGGGAAGAGGGTCAAGGCCTCTCAAGAGAAGCCAGCCAATGGGGATCGAGTCATTAAACTGGCCAGTGGTGGACGCTGAGGGCCTCACTCCCTGGACATGGGATGGGGCAGAGTGTTTGGATACACACCTCCATGAGGGCAGGGCAGGCTCAGGGGCTAGGGGACTGGAGAGAAATGGGGGAGGGGGGCAGAAAGCAAGAAAACCCACCTGCCCGGTGGGAAAAGAGGGGCAAGAACCCTGCCCCACAACAAGGTTTCTTTTTAGTAAATGAAGACAATTCACATGGAAACAACATCTAACAGGGAGAAGCCCTGGGACTGCTGGACAGAAGGAGCTCTCGCTCGCAACAGGGCTCGGTGGAGAGCAAGACCTAGAGGGCTTCACACGAGATCGCATGTGCTGTCAATTTTTCAAAAACACTTATAAGATATATGGTTTTCTGACCCAAGTACAGTGGTTTTTAAATCTCCTTAAAGAAATCTGCTTATCCCTGGCGGGCAGCTCAGCTGGTAAGAGCATCCTCCAGGTTTGCAAAGGGTTCAGGGCACATACCAGGACCAACCAATGAATGCATAAGTGGAACAACAAATCAATGTTTCTCTCTCCTTTCCTCTCTCTCTAAAATGAATAAATAAATTTAAACTTTAAATAAAACAAATCTGCCTTCCCATCTATGGTCTTGTTCCAACTTTGAAGGTTATCTGATTTCTGGGAAACCCATCAATCAAGGATTTATTCTTCTGAGCATGGGCAGGCACTGTCTGATCCACTCCCTCGTTAAAAAGCTTATAGCTAGCCCTAACCAGTTTGGCTCAGTGGATAGAGCATCGGCCTACAGACTAAAAGGTTCCAGGTTCGATTCCAGTCAAGAGCATGTACCTTGGTTGTGAGCACATCCCCAGTGGGCGGTGTGCAGGAGGCAGATGAAAAATGTTTCTCTCTCACTGATGTTTCTGACTCTCTATCCCTCCCTCTTCCTCTCTGTAAAAAAATCAATAAAATATATTTTTAAAAAAAAAGCTGATGGTTAACCTGGGCAGATGTGGCTCAGTGGTTGAGCATCCATCCATAAACCAGGAGGTCACAGTTCCAGCACAATGGGGGGCACGCAGGGGGAAGCCCATGGATAATTCTCTCTCATCATTGCTTCTATCTCTCCCTCTCCCTTCCTCTCTCTGAAATCAATAAAAACATATATATTTATTTAAAGTTGGGTTCCTTTTTTATTTTTTTAAAATAATTTCAGAGAGAAAGGGAGAGGGAGAGATAGAAACATCACTGATGAGAATCATTGATCAGCTGCTTCCTGCACGCCCTCTACTGGGGATCAAGCCAGCAACCTGGGCATGTGCCCTGATGGGGAATCGAATCTCCATGCTGAGCCATGCTGGCCAGGCAACTTGGAGTTCTTTAAAAAAAAAAAAAAAAACCAGATAGTTATCTCAACTGGCACAATCTTTTCATCTTTCATGTACTTTTCAAAGAGTTCACCAAACTATGAATCTGGGGTTTTCCTTTCATCAAGAAGTTCTCCTGCAGAAAAAAAAGTTCTCCTGCAGAAAGGTGTGAGGAGCCATATTTCTCTACCACTAGGTCCACGGGACCACGGAGGACCAACACAACGGTGGCTTCATGAGGCAGTGAGGGCAGAGGACAAACAGCTGGTGGGCGGCCCCAGCAAAGGCATCAGGGCGGGGTGGTGAGAAGGGAACCCCCCTTCCCACGCCTGCCCCCACTGCCTTGGCTGCCCCAGCATCTGTGCTGCCACAGGAAGGGGCAGGGCCTCTGTGGGCAATTTCTGAGCATGCTCATTCTTGGTGTGATCTGGCCTTGATACCTAATTTGCTTTATGAACTTAATTCTCCATAAATAACCAAATCACATCAAATCTCGATTGCATGAGCAGTAACAAGGGTCATTTCAAACAGGAAGCCACCTAAACGTTACTCTAATTTGGTCAGGACCCCTGCTCACATAGAAGCTTGGTGTGTCTAACACTTAGGCTCTGCACAATCATCTCGGATAGACTTCACTAACACTGGGTCACCTTCACACCAGGACCCTCGAGAACTCGGTCCTTCTCGCTGCTGCTTCTGGTGGGAACAAGGAACGCCCCCCACACACACACTCCCCACCCCCACTACATGGATGGATGCAAAACGGGTGCACACGTGCCTGTGCCCCTCAAACATTCCCGGGGAACTAGCCATAAGGCAACCGAGTTTCTTGCTTTCGGAGGCCTTCTTTTCCAGCTCCAATCCCAGGAGCTAAAGTGCTGGATCCAAAGGTGTGATCTGTTCCCACAGCCGTATTCACCTACTTCCTTCTCCTGAACAACCATTACCTTCTAAGCGCCTGGAAACTCAGGTGTGTGTGTGTGTGTGGGGGGGGGTTCAAATTCTCAACCCCCAATTTTTACTTACTCTCCGGGAAGATCTTTGCTTGGAATCCTTTGCCAAAGACCAGATTCTCCAGGTTATTAAAGGCCTGGGTTGCGGGAATTAAGGAGCGGGGCAGAGCTGTGTGAGACATGGGGTGCATGCTCCCCGACTCCCCACACTGCACCACGACCCCCTAGAAAAGTCTCAGCCCCGGACGCGCGGCACCCTCCGGTCCCGTGCAAACTGGCCCGCCCCCGGGAACCCAGGACACGTCAGCTCTGCGGGGAGAGGACCAGGAAAGCGGGTCGACCCCAACTCCAACCCCAACTGGTTTGTCCGGGGTATCCCGCCGCCCCAGTTACCCATCACGCCCTCCGGTGGGTCCGACAGATGCCCCTGGCCCAGAAAGACGGGAGTGAACGGGCGCTGTGGCCTGTGCGCATGCGTCAGCTCCCGGCGCGGGCTAGCTTTCCCCGAGTCCTCCTCCTGCTCCCTCTCGGCGCCTTACGTGGCGCCCTCTCCCGGCGGGGAGGAAATATTGCGTCAAAGCGCATCTGGCCACCGCCCTAGCCCCCCGCCCTCGCCCGCCGCCCGGGCAACTGCTGCCTCTAACGCCAGCTGCACTTCACTCTTTAAGTCACTGTGGCTATGGCCATCGCCTGCCCACCTCTGTCTTCTTTGCCATTGATGTCACCTCTAATGCCTGTTCCTCCATCCTCCCTCCTCCATGATCATTCCCTCGACATCTCTGTAGACTCTTTTTTTAAAATGTATTGGGGTTACATTGGTTAATATGATCATATGGGTTTCAAGTGCACATTTCTTTTTTTCTCATTTAAAAAATATGTTTCCATTGAGTTTTTAAAAAGAAAGAGGAAGGGAGAGGGAGAGAGAAGCATCGACTGGTTGTCTGCCGCATGCACCCGACTGAGAATCGAATCTTCAACCTGGGTGGGTGCGTGCACTGACCGGGAACGGAACCAGGGGCCCTTGGGTGCGTGGGAGGACGCTCAACCCACTGTGCCACACCGGCCGGGGCGAGAGTGTGCATTTCTATGATACAAAATCTGCGCATTGCATTGTGTGCCCACCGCCCAAGTCCAACCGCCTTCCGTCACCTCCCATAGACTCCCGGCCAAACCAAAATCTCGTCCTGCCAGCCTGGAGCCCAGCTTTCTCCAAACCGATCCTTCCGCTTGATGTGAGCATGATTAGGAACCAATGGAGGATGCGAACCTAAGACATGGTTCTCTCT